CGCTGCCGCACGAGCGCCACCTGTGCCGCCTCGCCCAGGCCGCACTGAGCCAGCGCCATCTCCAGCGTCCTCGGCAGGGAGCTCTGGTGTCGCAGAGGTCGGTCCCTGCGGCCCACGCCGCAAACCACCTGGGCAGGGTGTGGCTCAGGGTACTGGCCCAGGAGGAGCCCTCCCAAGACTCCCCCCTCTAACTGCCCCCCGAGATGCTCCTCCGCCCTGCCAAGATCCAGGCCAGACCCCTCACTAGGCATTCAAGAAGCCCCATCCTCCTGTGTGACAAACTGCACAGAACACCCTCCCCTGCCACTACCCATCTGGTCCCCAGACCCCTCCAGGGACTGTGCCCGGACTTCCAGGCCCAGCTGGGGTCCGTGATCCTGGAGGACTCTCTGTATGCTTGCTCCAAGCTCCTGCAGCCTGGGTGCTTGTGTCACCCTGGTGTGTCCCGGGCCTGGCATCTGCCCTGGAAACCTCTGCCCTGCTCTACTGGGACTCCCTGAGGGCAGGGTTGAATTTCTCTCCATTTCAGCTTGGCCCAAAGCTGGGTACCCAGGAGGGTCCCCAAGCCTTCCTGAACTCCCCAGCTTGATGTCCCCTCCTAAAGGGCTCCAGGTAGTGGAGGTTTATCAGGGAACCTGGGTCAGCATCTTCAATGGGAAGAGGTGAAGCCCCTGGACCCTGGTACCCAGCATGGAGCTGAGCATAGGGGCAGGGGCTCCTGATGGGGGAAGGGTTCAGGAAGGGTTGGAGGAGAGGGAAATTTTGTCAGACCCAGGAGTCTCCCCAGAGGCAAACAAGATCCCCCCAAAGATTTTGTCCTTCCTGCCCAGAGACTGCCCAGGGGCCCTTGTCAGATAGTGGACAGGGCTAAGACTATGGCAGGTAGGGTCATGACCTAGACCTGGGCCACACTCACCTTGCTCATCAGGGGCCTGTCACCCTGTATCCGACACACCACAGCACAGATACGCACAGCCAGCTCAGGGCCAGGTGAAGGACCACCTGGGGCAAGATGGGGAGGCCTAAGCCTGGCACAGGGAAGCCAAGAGGCCAAGCCAAGCTTCCACCCCTGGCCAGCCCGGGTGGCTCTCACCTGAGAAGGGCAGCTGGGCAGGTGGGCACATAGCCTCCACCAGGACACTCTCCTCCTCCTCCAGCTTCTCCAGCAATGCCAGCACTGTGTCCACCACTGCGCCCAGCTCTGCCCGTGGGTGCAGACGCAATGCCTGCCGCCCCCGCCAGCGCCAGCCACTGAGCTTCACTGCCACCTGCGGTGAAGGGAGGGGAAAGGGGCTTCCTTGACACCTCTCCACAAACCCGCAGGATGGGATGCTCATACCACAGCAGCCAACAAGTAAACTGAGGTGAGAGGGCAGGGGATTGCCCTGGAGAGATGGGGCAGTGGCAGGGCTAAAAGTTGGGTCAGCTTCCCAGCAAGACTTGGTAATCATGCATGGGTCCCATCCTGCTGGCATCTGCACAGACTTTAGGGTGGGCAGGAGCCTGTTACCTGCACGACATCACCCAGGGCCTCAGAGCACAGAAAGGCCCCTATTTCCTCTTTCACCAGGGTTTCCTGGCCCTCTTTGCCACTCAGCTCCACCAGCCGCAGTCCTGGGCTGGCATCCCCTCCCTGCAGAAACCCCGGCGGCTTGTAGGTAAAAGCCAGGGTAGCTGGCACGGCCACACTGCCATGCTGGGCCAGCAAGCGCCTCGTCAGCAGCCGGTCCTCCAGCAGCCGGGCCAGCTCAGCCGAAGCTCCTGTGGGGCAGGTCAGGTCACGGGCAAGCTCTGCTGCCTCTCGGCCCCAGCCAGGCCCCAGCCCCAGGCCCGCCAGGAAGTAGGTGGCACGGCGCGGGGGGGAGAATTCATCCAGGAATGTCAGGCCGCCTGGGTAGAAGCTCACGGCCTTGGAGACCATCAGGGCCGCCTCACTCGGCTGCCCGGGTGCTGGCACCTTCGTCAGCCACGCAGGGGACAGGCAAAGGAGCATGTTTCCTGTGGGCAGAGGGAGGCCGGTGGTTGGCCAGGGAAGGCTTATTGCCCCACGCCCTCCACCTCCAGTCTGGGCCCCTGCGTAGTGGGGGCAGCTGCTCCCAGAACCCACCCCCACTCAGAGTATGGCAGCTGGTCCAGTGGAATGAGAGCAGTTGCCAGGGTTGGCGGGTATTTTGGGATGTGGCTAGGCCAGGCAGGGCTGCCCTTTCTGCAGGAGGGGGTGGAGAACTTGGGCAACACTCACCCGGACTCTGGACCCCCCCCTCCAGCAACACGGACAGAAAGGTGCTGGGGGATCCCAGAATGCACAAGGTCACCTCTGCCCCAGGGCAACCTCGAGGGAAGAGAACATTGCCAAGCTCAGGGAGGCTCTTCCTGCTGTCTTTCTGCCCACCTCCTCTGACTCCCACACCCCTGCCCTCACCCTTGGGCCCCAAATCCTTCCCAGAGATCAGATGAGAAGAATACAGGGGACAGAGAGGGAGCTGGATCGGGAAGGGGGAGCTGCCCACTCGTCCTGCCCTGTGAGGCTGGCTCCCTTGTCTCTTCAGCTGGTCCAGAAGGCACTGCAGGCTGGGTAACCAGAGACCTGGGTTCTAGTCTGAGCTTTGAATTCTGTGTGGATTTGGAGGAGTCACTGTTTCTCTGAGCCTCAGTTTCCCAGTCTGCACAATGGGACCAAGTCTGTGATTCTCATGTATTCTAGCTGCAAACCCTCTGTCCACACATCTTTCATGGCTACCTGAGAGATAAAGCAGAGGAGGAGCCTTGGGGTCCTAACTGCTGAGCTGCCTCTACAGCAGCTCCCAAGACACCTCTCTAGACACTTCAGTTCCATAGAACATGGTTTGCACATCCCAGGGCTGGCTCTTTGGGGGAAGCGGATGAGGGTGGACAGCCCCGATCTCTGACCACTGGTGCCAGATGCCCTTGGAAACCATGGCTGCCCTGGGCTGACTGGCTTTGCCTCCCTGCCTTCAGACCCAGGCAGACTCTGGGGGAAGGGACCAACCTCAACAGGGATGGGAAAGCAGACTGGGCTGAGGGCCCTTCCCTGCCCCCAGGGGTGCTCCCCTCCATGGAGCCCTCGGGCACCTGTTCGGGGCACCTGGCTGCGGTCCTGGGTCTCCGGAAGGCCAGCTTGCTGCAGACAGCTCTGCAGGAGGCTGTAGTAGTAGACGGTCCAGGCCCGGGCCTCGGCCCCCTCAGGGGAGGCCTTGCAGTCCAGGCCCACATCCCGGCGCCAGGAGCCAGGGAAGCAGCCTGTGGGCGGCAGGCCGGAGCCCCCTCCCCATGGGCCCTCCTCTTCGTCCAGGTCCTTGGAGCCCAGGGGGCAGTCCCATTCGGGACCCAGTGGATCCAAGGAGAGCTGAGGGGGCAGAAGTGGTGGGTCTTGGGCAGGGTGGGCAAGGGGCACATTAAGTCACCCAAGGGTGTAAGTCCTCCTCCCCAGTCTCCCAACCTGGGTTATGCTCAGGGCAGACACTGTCCAAGGGACCAGGAGAGGAAGGAGTTGGGTTGGGGAGTGAAGACGCATCAAAGGGAACTGCGTAGGTAGGAAAGCTTTGCAAACTGTTACATGTGGTGCCCCCGGGGGCAGGCAGGAAGCAGTGTCCTGCTGGCCAGACCACTAACCCCCATCCCACACTGGGGTCTGCCCTAACTTGCTTGACAGGGGCAGAGGTTTTTGCCTGTTTTGTTCGTTGAGGCAACTCCAGCACCTAAAATAGTGCCTGGCACACAGTTAAGTGCTCAATAAGTGGTTTTTGTTTGTTTGGGAGTTTTTCAGCAGCTGGCTGGTAAGGGGATTCGAACCCTTGACCTTGGTGTTATCAACACTGCTCTCTAAGCAACTGAGCCAAGTGGCCAGGCTCCTCAGTGTTTGTTGACTGAAGAATATATGAATGGGGCCGGCCTGTGGCTCACTCGGGAGAGTGCGGTGCTGATAACACCAAGGCCATGGGTTCGGATCCCATATAGGGATGGCCGGTTGCTCACTGGGTGGGCGTGGTGCTGACCTGACTTCCCTCTTCCGACTTGAGCCGAGAGGCTTGTCCTGCCCCTTACCGGTCATCTTTAAAAAAAAAAAAAAATACTGATTCTGATGTAACCATGAGATTCTAATGTGCAGCCAGGGTTGAGAGCCAAGGGACTCCTGCCCAGTGTCCCCTCCCCAACCAGCTGCTGAGCCTTTCCCTTTTGGTGAGCATCTCTGGGGCCCCAGGCCCCTCTGGGTTCTGACTTCCCTCTTCCGACTTGAGCCGAGAGGCTTGTCCTGCCCCTTACCGGTCATCTTTAAAAAAAAAAAAAAATACTGATTCTGATGTAACCATGAGATTCTAATGTGCAGCCAGGGTTGAGAGCCAAGGGACTCCTGCCCAGTGTCCCCTCCCCAACCAGCTGCTGAGCCTTTCCCTTTTGGTGAGCATCTCTGGGGCCCCAGGCCCCTCTGGGTTCTGACTTCCCTCTTCCGACTTGAGCCGAGAGGCTTGTCCTGCCCCTTACCGGTCATCTTTAAAAAAAAAAAAAGAATATATGAATGAATGAACTCAGCAATCACTCCTGGGCTGCTCGTTTCTCTCTGGGCATTAGTGACCCATATGCCAGCGTGGAGTTCGCTCTCACCTAAATGTGTAGATGAATCTGTTTCACTGTCATCCCCAAGTAGGGCTTGAAGACCTACTCTGCGCCCAGCCCTGTGCTAGGCACTGGGAGAAGAAAGGCTGGTGCCTTTTGTTTCAGATGTTTTGAGTTCTGGAAATGCTTTCTTTGGATGAAATTTAACACCCCTGCCCCTCTCTGAGGCTGGCCGACTCCCATATGGGGCTGCTGTTAGCTTCAGTGTGAACACAGATGGAGACACTTATTCTTTGCTGGCCAGGCCAGCCCTGGCAGCTGGGTCTGTCCTCCAGGAGACAGGCTAGGCCACCTTGAGCAAGTTATGAGGTCTCTTTGGGCCTTGTATTTGCCTGGTGCCTGCCCTGTTCCATCCTGAGGGTGTTGATGAGGCTTGGACTGAGTCACTTGGTTGTTGGGAGACAGTGTGCTGTGTGGCTGGGACAGCAGAGGTCTGGGGCTCAGACCTGGGCTTGAATCCCAGTTTGCCAGGGCCAAACTCTGAGCCTCTGTGCCCTCTCCCAGAGGGTGAGAAGTTTCACTGCTATGTCCCCAAATCTAGAATGGTGCTGGGCACGCAGTAGGTGCTCAGTAAATGTTGTGGAATGAACGAATGTCAAAAGCACTAACAGTGACCACCTGCCGGGGCTGATGGGGACATGGGGTGCCTGACACACAGCAGCTACTTTTGCCATGGCGCACAAGCTGGGGGGTCAAGCTTGGGGATGGGTCTGAACTGTCTGCACAGGGCAGCCCCCAGGATTAGGCCTCCGGGTGCCAGTCGCTACCCTCTGGGCCCTCCCTCTGTCCAGGGACTTGGGCCTTTTGGGGGAGGAACCACAGGTGACTCACCATCTCGCAGGTGGAGAGGCTGAGAGACTGATGGCAGAGACAGAGGGACAGAGAGACAAAGCGGGGGTCAGGGCAGCCGGGTCCCTACCAGCCCCTAAGTCTTTGGGGGCAGAAAGGTGGCCGCCACCGTGCCTCTCTCCTGTCCCTGCTAGGAGGTCGCCAAGGCTGCCCCACCCCCGCCCCAAGGTGGAGTGGGGACTCTGCCGCCCGGACTCCCTGGGCTCACATTCCGGGTTGCGCCGGCTGCGCTGGGGGTCGTGACTCAGTCCCTCCAACGGGGGACGCCGTGTGTGTGGTGGGGGGATTGGTAGTGTCGCGGTGCAGCGGGGGGCGCGGGCGCTCAGGGTCCCCGTCCCCGCGGCCCTGCCCGGGTAGTCCCCCTCCCTGGCTCTCCCGGGGCAGGGGCCGGAACCGGGGTACCA